GACAGGATGCCATTTTGTTAAGGGAAACTGTCACATGATGTTAGGCTACTTTTACTAGGCACTGCTAAACCTGTGTCTCGTGAAAAAAATTACTATATTTGATGTGTACACTGATACTTTGATTAGTGAGTTCCTGGAGAATAAACTTTCTTTATAAGAAATAGGAGTCTGCTTATTTGTTTTATTTTTAGAAAACACACTTCATTTATTCTGCAAAGCACAACTGCTCTTCTTTACTGCTGTATGACAAAATATCTCAATCAAAACATGTTTTTCCTTGGCTCTTTTAAGATTAGTTGGGAATAATTCTAGCCTGAGTTAGAAACAAAACTATGAAATAGACTGATTCCTTAGAGTCGAAGAACTGACAGGCACATGGAGGATTTAGAAGCACAGACAAGGTACTGGATCTGATGTTGAGAGCAGGGAGCTTTCCTGGCGGAGGTGATGCCTGAGCAATAACAGAGGGGATACATCCTAAGCCCCAGCTCCATTGCTCACAAGCCATATGGTTAGGACTGGTTACTTAATTTCCCTAAACACCAGTTGCCTCACCTACCAGGAGAGCGATACTATTTGGCTCACAGTTTTATATCCCTGGGCTTACAGGAAATTGCATTATCCTCTTTTCTTTCCACTACCTTCTCCTTCCCCTTCGTTGTTTTTACTCTAATGTGGAGTCCCTAAGGCTCACCCCTTGGGCCTCTTGGAGTTTCTGTTTAACCCTCTTCCTTGTTATGTCGCCTTCAGCCAGGTCTCACCCATGCCCCAGCTCAATCTCTCCTACATTTTCTTCTCATGCTGTATATCTCCACAAGGGCACCCTGTCAAAGCACTTTAAATCAACAACTGTGCAGCCAAATTTATCCTGTCCCTAAATTTTTAAGTAGAGCCCATAGTCTCACAGACACCAAACTTCTGAGTCATCTTTAACATGTTTTTTTTTTTTTTCCTTGTTCCTTATCTAATCAGTCACCAAATTCTGTAGGTTCTTCTTTTGAAACTTCTTTGATAAGACCAGGCATGAAAACTCAAGTGGTTATAATTTTGTCGGGGATTTTTAGAGTTAACAAGACTGTTTCCTTAATAGAGATTTATTAATTTTAAAATTAAAATGAAAGACATTTCTCCAATCTTCAGTGATAGGACAATGATATGGTTAGTTAATTTGGGTCTTTGCTTATAGGGCCATTCCCATTGCAGATTCTTGTACACAATTTCCAAATTAACCTGTAATTTCCTGCTAAACTCTTTAAGAGTCCATCAATACTTCTGAATGGTGTAAAATGTAGAAGCCTTGTGTGTAAGGCTCTCTCAGATCTCTTCCCAGCCTATGCTTCAGTCCCTTCTTCCATTGCTCACATTAAATCACCCATTCTCTGTCTAAAATAATTCCTTACTATTCTTGGAATCAACTGACATTTTTCCTGACCCCCAACCTTCACTCGTACCATTCTTATCTCTTTTCATACTTTTTCCCCGTAGCATTGATATATTTGTCGTTATTTAGCCTAATCACTAGGCCATTGGCCTTCTCCACCGAAATTGCCACATTTTTTTCTCTTTTCTGAACTCCCACACTACGCTGGTTGTGGCATTTATCACATAAAACCTGCCTACTACATTATTAAATTGAGTTCCCCAACCCAATTCCAACACAGAGCAGGGGGGAGTCCCCCCAACACCAACCAACAATTCTCAGGACTCTGACACTATCTATGCAGAGATAGTACCAGATTCCATAAGTCAAGGATTTGGTACTACGAGACTGCCCTTCCCCCGGAACACATACACACTTCTGACCCATTCCAGCTGAGACTGCTAATTCCAAGTCCAGGTTGTTATCTGTGTACTCTGATCATCTGGCTATAAATCAGAGGCTCCCACAAACCCCTCACTGGGTTCAAAATATGTTATTTACTAGATCACTGATTTATTGTGAAAGGATATAGCTCAGGAACAGCCGGACCCTGGACATCAGGTGGGAAGGGGTGTAGAACTTCCATGTTCTCTCCAGGAGCACCATTCTCCCTCCATCTCCAAGTGTTCACTAACTGTGAAGCTCTTTAAACCCTGTCCTCTTGAGTTTTTATAGTAACTTCAGTACATAGTTATGATTGATTAAATCATTGACCATTGTGGATTGATTCAACCTCCAGCCCCTTTCCTCTCCTTGGAGGTCAGGGTGTGACTCACAGGGAAGGTCCCACTGTCAACTAGCCTCTATTTTATGGTGGGGTCCCAAAGTTACCTCATTTAACATAATAAAAGACACTTGTTTTATTCTCTACACTTAGGAAATTCCAAGAGTTCCAGGAGCTGTAAGCAGAAATTGTGGACAAAAACCAAATATATATGAGAAATATATTTGGGTTGTCTGAATGACTAAATATGTATGTCTTATAAATCACAATATCACAATTAAAGATTCTTGAATGCAGGTATTGGCACTTTCTTAGTGCACTTCTGAGTTCTAAGTGCTCCCCAATTTATTAAAAGCCTTTGATTAATCATTGTATATTTCCCGGGACAGGCATGAGAGCTGTGTTCACTGATCTCTGCCAAAATTGTAGACCTATTTTCCATTTTTTAAAAATATATTTTGTTACCTAATTACATGAACTTATCATTTTGGAATTGGAAAGCTCTAAAGAGACTATTTTACTCCTAAACTCTTTCTTAATGTGCAATGAGGCCCTGAGGAATAGCTAGTTTTTGGTGCATCAAGTACAGAGACTTAGGTCTACTGTTGACACCAGAAGGAGCTTGGATCCCAAATCACCTCCCCAAATTCCTCATTTTATGTGTCCTCTACGTATAAGAAAACTTTGCTGACTGATTCCAAGAAAAAGAATGTAGTGTGGTAGAATAAGAAGTTAACTATAGGTTTAGAATCATAAAAACTAGATTTAAATTCTGGGCTGGTCACTTCACTAGCTGCACAGATTTTGGTTAATAACTTCTCAGCGTGTTTCCTCTTATGTGGACAATTATCTCCACTTCATGAAGTTGTGTTGGTGAAATGGTATAATGTATATGAAGTAATTAGAATATAACAATTTGAGGTCATTATTTAAAATAACCTTTTAAGTTACAAATGTGCATATTTAGTTTTTCTTAATAATGCATAGATTTTTTTTTTTTTTTTAATCATAGAAGCTTTTTCTAAATTGAATGAATGTAGATTTCTCTTTTTTCCTTGACCTCAAATTTCGAAATTTTGGGAGTGGTCATAGTGTGACTAAAGAATCCACCCAGTTACTTGTAAAAGTTCCTTTAAAAAAAAAAAAGTATTATCAAGAACTATGTATTTTGGAAGGTGAATGTTTAGATCTTTCAGTGCAGCTAAGCTGGGTGATAGAGATAATTTTTTTTGACGCTTTGCAGAGCTCATTGTTTTTTTCTGGATAAAAAAGCTATAATACATTCACTTAATAAACATTTAGCTGCAACAGTCATCAAAGTTAAGTCTTCTGACAGCTCCACAACTGACCTTGACCCTTAGCTCTTTCCATGATGCCACTTTGCCTTTCACATCAATTCTGTGAGCTCAAGCAGAAATGAAGACTACCTCCCCATAATGGCATGGTAGAGGGTCACCAGAGGCTCTTACAATAAATGAAGACCTGATATCACTTCTAAAACACTGCTGAGCTCTGATGAAGTTTGTGCTTTTATATCAAATATGAGAATAAAAGTAAAGTGTTTTAATATAAAATATGAGGCTGACACTGGATGATGTCAAAAGCCCAGCTTCTAAACTCTAGACCGTTTTAATACTGATAGGTTTTGATGAAAGACTATAGGAGTTTCTTTGCCGGAATCCCTATAGGATTGGTTCCAGCACTGGCTGTCGCATGATTCAGTTCAGTATAGGAAGCATGAGTCACAGCAAATGTTATTGTTCGAAACAGATTCCTCTTTTTAAAGCTCACACTAACCCATAAGGAGCGATCAGAAAGCATTTAGGAAAGAACATCACGACAAATGCAGCAATTACTCTGACTAGCGCCATGTAAATCTGTGGTTCTCAACCTGACTGCACAGTGGCATTACTTACCTGGAGCATTTTAAATAATCCCGTTGCCTCTGTATGATCCACAGAAATACTAATTTAACTTGCCTGAGGTGTCGCTTGAGCATCTGGATTTTTTAAAAGCTCTCACATGATTCTAACGCGTGGCCAGTTTCGCAAACCACTGGCATATACTTAAGGTCTTCTAGCAAAACTTCCTCTTAAAATCTACCACCCTATCGTTTAGTTTTCTGGAGCTTGGCTTTTGTTTTATCATCTTTCTTTCCACCCAACACACATATGCAGCCCGCAGGATGGTGAATTTCTCTGCAGGCAGACTAGTCCCAAAGAGGTGTCGGTGGTAAATAAGGAGAACCCTGGCGAAGAAAGAGATTCCAGCCCAAAGCTGGCATGAGCAACAGTCACTCCCCGCTGCGTTGCTCCACCTGTTTCTTGGGTCTTTTCCCACCTGCCGTTTTCTGATTACTGAGCGTCCCAGGAGACACCACACTCGTCTTTTTATCTTCCCCTCGTGCTGACGTTTGGCGGGCCTCCTACTTCAAGACACCACGTCCCTGGGTGGGCATTATTTCTCACCCTTGACCTCTACCTCGGAATTTACCCGCACCTACCGCTCAGCACCAAGGGGGCTTAAGGTCCTCTTAAACTAATTCAGATTCCTGGGGACCCAAACCTGCACTACTAGAACCATTCCCCTCTCCTCCGTAACTGCAATTTTTAGTTTACTTATAAAGTAGATACTTTACATTTCCAGATGGCAGCTGATTGCAGGCCCCACCCTAGTAAAGAGAAAGAAAAAGTCCCAGCATCCGGCGCTAGGGAGCTAACCTCCCTACCCACGACCCCTCTCCCTAGTCAAGGGTCTCTAGACGCCAGTGACGCAAGAGTCCCCCACCCCTTTGCCCCACCCAGAACGTGGTGCAAACAAACCTCTTCTCTTCGCCCCACCCTTTGGTGATTCAGAGCCCAGGCACCACCCAAGGTGCTAATTTAAATTGACTTGCAGAACAAGTAGGCTTTGCAGCAACTTTACAGCTTCTTGCTCAAGCCAGTGCGATTTTGTTACCGGGGCCGCCGAGTCCCGGTGCGGGGTCCGCATTCCGGCGCCATGAGTCCCGCGTGGCCCGGCGGCCGAGCGGTGCTGCGCCTCGGCGGGTTGACCTTGTTGCTGCTGCTGCTGCTGCTGCTGTGTCCGCAGGCTGCTCGGGGTGGGTAATGGCTGGACATCCAGCCCAGCTGGGTGAACCCTTAGGCTGTGTGGGAGGGGCTGGGTCAGTTTAGGTGACAATCTAGAAGTCTGGGAACTGGGGAGGTGAGGGATGTGGCTTTAGGAGTGAGGAGTGGACAGTTGAGAAATCACCGGCTGAATACGTGGAGCAGCCAAAGCATGGGGAAGCCGAAAGGCAGCGCTCAAATAGAGTGAATTCTCAAACTCTCAACATCTCTTTAAGGGCGAGTGGCCAAATAGCTGACCACTCTCGCCTCTAAACACGGGACAGTCTTGTGCAGCACACGGCGCTACATATTTTCACATCTCCAGGTGTAACGTTTCAACGGGGCGTTTGTCTTTATTGTGTGCCTAGCAGCAGTATCTAGGCAGAAATAAATACTAAACCACTTTAAAAAAAATGATGAAGGGGGCGGGGTTTATTCTCGACTTCTTTTGTCTTGAATTAATTGACAAGACGGGAAACTGAGCAAGGTCTTGGTTTGTCAGTTCTGCACTGGATAAGGAATTTTACCCGTACTTCAAAAGGCATTGCCGCTTCCCTTATTAGCCTTGGGAAAGGAATGTTTCAACGAGTTGAAAAGTGGTATTTACCTCAGTTACATTTTTTTCCCTCCTAGGTGACTGCAGCCTTCCTCCAAATATACCTAATGCCCAGCCAGATTTGAAAGGTCTTACAAGTTTTCCTGAACAAAGCATAATAACATACAAATGTGATCAAGGCTTTGTAAAAATTCCTGGCCAGCCAGACTCAGTGGTCTGTCTTAAGAACAATGAATGGTCGAATATCACAGAATTTTGTAATCGTAAGTTCTTCATTTCTTTTTAGGAAGGTTATGAGAATGGAATGTATCTTTAAAATTTATCCCTCTTCAGAGTGACTGGTAATTGATAATTTTCTGATATTATTAAACCCCAGGGTATACCTGTTGGCACTTCACACTCCAGCTAATTGATGGCATTACTTCCTGGACTAGGTCCTGTTTCTCCATCAACAGGTTTTTTGTTTTGTTTTGTTTTCCCCTGCAAACACTGCACCTCCTGAACTGACTAACAGAGAAAATAAACAACAGCTACTGTTGTTTAGGGAATAAATTATATATGAATATGATTGGCAATTACTTTGAGACATATAACATAGGTGCTCTGTTTTCTTAAATTTCATTTTCTAAAGTAGGACTTACCAAATACAACTCTGTGATGGCATTTAAAAAAAAATATCTCTATATTTACCTAAAAATCTATGCATAGCCCTATTTTAGCTTTGTCATGTATGAGTAAGTGTAAGGATAAGACTTGTTTCCTGCCTTTGAACAAGTTGGAGCAATAGGAGCTACAGGAAATACAGAAACTACCACAAGTATTTTTTGAAAACAGGTATGAAATGGGCTTTAACTTTTTGTTATCTATCTGTGATAGAAAGCAGTAGGTTGAAGTACATAAGCCTTTGCATGGGTATCATGTTTCAGAGTTTATAACGTTTCTACATATATTACTTCATCTAATCCTCCAGACAACTCCATGAGATAAGTGGAGACCCACCCTCATATTATAGTTGAAGAAACAAGCCCCCAAAAGCTAAATAACTTCCTTGAGATCAGCAGCAGTTTGAACTCTGGCTCTTGTGCAGAAGAGCCAGAGTTCAAACTGGAGTCTTTTGACTATAAATCTAACACCTCTTCCACTCTGCCATGCCTCTATAAATTTAGATTGGCCCAGATGTTTAAAGTTCGTAAACACTTATGTACACATTGGCTCATCTGATCCTTGTCCCCATGGGTTATTGTGGGGATTAAATGAATTCGTGTGTGTAAAACATTTAGAAGTAGTCAATAAATATTAGATATTATTGTTACTGTTGTTGTTGTCCAGGACATTATCCCAAGAGTCTGGAAATATCTATTGTCATCTACCCCTGTGCTTCATGGGGCAGGGTATGGGAACTGGTATTTATTGAGTCAGTGCCAAGAAATTTAAATAGGTTATATATTCTGAACTGTGGGCATAGTGAAATCTATGTGCCAAATCTACTTCACAGGCCTTTAGTAATCAGTAAATGAAAGCGTATGTGTGAATATGCTTGATACACTGTAAATGCCGTAGGCATAGTAACATAGTTAAATACCAAATGTATACAAAGAAGTATAGAAAAAAGGATGATGTAAGGACCCCAAAATTCCAAGTAATTAAGTATAGATTGTAAAGTGATATGATTTTTTTGTTGTTGCTTTTGTTATTACTTTTAGGTAGCTGTAATTTTCCAGCCAGGCTGCTTTTTGCATCTCTCAAAAAGCCTTATAACCAACAGAATTATTTCCCATTGGGTTCCATTGTGGAATATGAGTGCCGTTTGGGCTACAAAAGAGACCATTCCCTATCAGGAAAAATAACTTGCCTTCAGAATTTTACGTGGTCCAAACCAGATGAATTTTGTAAAAGTGAGTAAAATTTTAAAGAGTATTCTTAATCCTTTTGTGCTTGTGGAAATAGTATTTCTTCCTTTATTCACACTGGAAGTCTATGTGTATATATTATTCAGAATGATTCTTAAAAGAACCATTAGAGTTATTTTAAATTAGGCAGACTAAATATTTGTGAGATAGGACTATATTATTTTACTCATAGATTTCACATTTAATTAGTTTAAGGTTACCTTTAATGAAATAAGTATATATTCTATATGTGTTGCTTTTTTGAAAGTTATAAAATGAAGATAGGATTTAAAAAGTCTAAGAATAAGAGATTATCAGTGGTTCAGATGATGAATTTGCATCGATGTGCCTGAGAATTTAATGAAAAAAAAAATTGTATTCTCTTCTAGGAAAATCATGTCCTAATCCTGGAGAAATAACAAATGGTCATATAAATATAGCAACTGACATATTATTTGGCTCATCCATCACCTTCTCATGTAACACAGGGTAAGTTTTTGCACACTAAACACTCTATATTTAACAAATGAAAAAAACAAATTAGGATGTACAATGGAAGTTTTTAGATTAGTGGCCGGTATTCACAAGCTAGTAGCAATAAAACAACCTATTCAAAGGTCTATTCAAAGATTTTTCTCATGAGCTCATCACAGTTAAATTTAGTAAAATGTGGCAAGAAAGAAAGATTTCTTATACCACCAAATTCTTTCAATTCTTAGATTTCGGTACCTATGTGATTTATTATAAAATTGTAAATGTGATTAGTAAAGGAAAAACTTGTAATATATTGATGATACTTGCAGAAATTAAATCCAAGTATTAAATAAGAAACCAGTCTTTCATTTATATGCTAACAACCTGTTATAAAATATCATGGCTTAACATTTATTTCTAGTGTGAAAATGCCATTCTGACTTAATGTCTTTTATAAGTTTTCTGTGTGGAGAAAAAGAACTTACTCATTAAGTATCATCAGTGTGTCAGCCGACACTGCTGGAAGTTTCATATTCATTTTCTCATTGAATGTCTACAAATCAAATTATGACATTTTACTCTGTGCATGTCCATTTTTTATAAAATAAAAATATAAGTTGCACTTGTCACCTGTACTAAACACAGATGTTTGGATAATTAATATCATTAATATCAAATCTGAGAGTTCTTTGAACCCTTTAAATATAAGTACATTCTATTATTCCGTGAAGCCAATGTTGATCTTATAACTCAGAAATATAAAATATTCATGCATCTATATCATGTTAAAATGTTCTAAAACACTTTAATATTTTCTAACATGTGCCTCACTGAAATAAAAAATGTTTTTCATGTCTTATACTTCTTTATCTTTTGGATATCATCTTTTAAAATTTAATTTTTCCTTTTTCTTTAAACTGACACGTGAACTTTTATCATCTATTTTGTTTTGTCTCCATCTACTGGTATAGTAAATACTATAAGACTATATTCTGGAGAATTTAAGGGGACTCAACTTATTTCTTTCCCTCATTGTTTAGGTACGAATTAGTTGGTGAAACTTCTAGTTACTGTATTATTGTGGGACAGACTCTTGGGTGGAGTGATCCATTGCCAGAATGCAAAGGTAAGACTGAAAAAGTTTAAGCACTCAGGTTGCAGGGTTTAGTAATCAACGATAAAGTCCTTTCTGTGCATTAAGAATTACTCACAGTGTATATATGTAGTATCCTCATTTTCTAATGTGTGTTTTAGCTAATTTAAACACTTTTATTTTTAACGTTCCTTAATTTATTAGCTGTAGGGATAAAGAATTAAAAACAATCTAAGGTTTATATTGTGCTTGGTCATTTAATATCTTACTATTCCTTCTAATAGTCAGCTAAAATAGATATAGAAGTCCCCGCCCTAAGACCCAGCCTTTCTCAAATGGGTGCCCCCTTCTTGCACTATAAGGGGCCTCTGATGCACATAAATGGACAACTCAGTCGACACACCCATGTCATATCTACTATGATCCTTATCCCCACTCTCCTGAACTTTGGGCTACAGGTATGCACATCAGCAGCATGGACCATCCTCAAGAATACAGACCATGTGCTCCCTTTGGCAGCATATATGCTAAAATTGAAACGATACAGAGAAGATTAGTATGGCCCCTGTGCATGGATGACATGAAAATTCGTGAAGTGCTCTATATTTAAAAAAAAAAAAAAAAAAGAATATGGACCAGCAGAAAAGGCCCTCTCAGGCCTGAAAAGGATGTTGGCACAGGAAATTCTGGGTGCCAGTCCCTGAAGCATGATTTAGAATGGGGTGAGGGAGGAGCTCTCATGGAGCACATCCTTTCAGCCCTGCAAATATCTTACGTAGCAGAGAGGGGCACAGCCAGAGGAGGGCCAGAGTACGGCCTTTTAAACTGGGAGCTAGGGCAGGAGTCCCATTTGCCTGAGTTAAAGGTGATACTGATTGCAATGGCTTCCAGCTTCCATTCTTGCACTCCATTGTTTCATCTATACTCTACCAGGGTGAACCATTTGAAACACAAATGTGGCTTGTCTTTCCGGCTTAGAGCCTATTAGTGTCTTCTCATCACTTACAAAGTCGAAACTCCTTAGCATCATGTACAAGGCTAGCCATGGCCTACCTACTTATACTTTATGCTCTACTTATGCGTACTGCTGTAGTTTTCCATGTTTTATCACGCCCCCCCACATCACTCCTTATACTATACTACTGCCTCTGCCTGAAGTGCCCTTTAGTCCCTTCTTTGCTTGGCTCGTTGGGTTTTGTTTGTTTCTTATTGTCTCATGCTTCCGTGATAACCTTCGCCATTTTGCATTGAAATTACCTCTTTGAATCTCTTTCCCACTATATTTAAAGACAGAGGAACAATACTTTATCCAGTTTTCCACTTCTGGTTATAGAACAATGTCTGGTATGTTTTAGGTGCTTAGAAAATGTTTGAACTGAACTGATGGTGGTATGTGTAGTCTCATACACCCTAGCCTAGTATAAATCAGATTAGCTTGTTCTTGCTCCTTGCTTTGATCAATGGCCTAAAGTAATTTATAAATTTGGTAGTATTTTCTGGGTACTTAAAAGTATTTGGTTTAATATAATTTGATGTCCACATGTACTCACATTACTTTCCTGCTTAAAAAAGAAAAACGACTTCTTGGCTCTAGAGAATGTGGCATCATTGCCAGGGAGAGGTATCTTTTTATAAAATAACTAGAGTAACTCTGCTTGTATATGTTTTACAAATTCAGCTGCTCAGTAGGATTTCCTTTAAGTAAAAGGCTTTGGGTCAGTACATGCTTACAATTTTTTATCCTAAAAATCAAAATCTAATTCTGGTATTTGAGACCTTTTGCTCTACACAAATGATCAATTTCTGTTTCCAGAGTGTGCCACTTGACTTCCTAGAGCCCTTCATTTGGCATCATTTCCCCATGGAATGAACAGCAGTGCCCTCTTTTCTGCTCTGTCTTAGAAGAGTACATCTTAGGTTTAAACTCGAGTTCCGTTTACTCCCTAAACTCTCTGCCACTGCTTTTGTCTCTAAACTCTTACTTTTTCTAATACCAGTTTGATATATAACGTGCAAACTTAATAGTTATTTTTACTTTACATGTATTAGAACATCATTGCGGTCATGAGCATATAATGCATTTCAGTCAACAATGTACCACATACACAACAGTGGTCCCATAAGATTAGAATGGAGTCGAGGTGTGTAGTAGGCTATATCATCTAGGTTTGTGTGAGTGCACTCTATGATGTTCGCACAATGATGACATTGCCTAACAATGAATTTTACAGATCGTATCCCCATTGTTAAGCTACGCATGACTATCTTTCTACAAATTGGTTTAAAAATTAGTATTCATGTTTTACAACATTTGTTTTCAAAGCTCCAAATATACTATCCATTACTTAATAGGTAGGTATTTATAAGCATCCCTCGTTAATAATGATGAATTTAGTCAAATGGTAGGTTTTGATTTTTAAAATATTTAACATATTTTGGTCTCTGTAAAAATACCTAGCCAGTTTTACTAATTTAAAATATACTAAAAAACTTTTTAAAGAAGTTTTTTTGTCCAGAACCACAAGAAAGTGACAGCGGAATAATTTAAGAGCAATAGAACACTTATATGTATGGACAGTCTATGACATGTAAAGGTACTAAAGGCTTCACTCTGATCAGAGAAAACTCTATTTATTATACTCTAAAGTAAAAGATGACTAAGGAGAATGGAGTGGCCCACACCACCTGAATGCAAAACTAAGCAGTTTACATAGTTACAAATATTTTTTATTTTATCCTTAGGTCTATGTACGAGCTTCAGAGAGTCTATGGACTCCCTGAGAAATGAATATAAAATATTGTACATATGTTTATTTTCATTTTTCTAGAGTGGGGGTACAATTCTTATCAGATTCTCAGAGGGGTCTCTGTGATTTCCAAAAAAGGAGGAACCACTGATGTAGATAACATGTGGTAATATATAAATAAATACATACATGACATATATGAAAATAAATACATGTATGCGCACACATACATACATATATATAGTCTCCTGTTTTTACTAAACCAGCTTAAATGTGTTTCTTTTTAAATTTTTAAAATTTTCAAGTTAAAAAAAAGATTCCCATCCCTTCACCACGCCACCTCTGCCCATCCCCCAGCTATCCCTGCCCTTTGGCAACCATCAGTTTGTCCTCTGTATCTATGGGTCTGTTTCTGTTTTGTTTTTTATTCATTTTTTTTTTTAATGCTACATATAACTGAAATTACATGGTATGCGTCTTTTTTTGTTTGACTTATTTCACTTAATGCTAGGTTCATCTATGCTGTCACAAATGGCAAGATTTCATTCTTTTTTATTGCCAAATAGTATTCCATTGTATATATTTGCTAGATCTTTTTTACCCATTTATCTATGGATGGACATCTAGGTTGCTTCCATATCTTGGCTATTATTAGTAATGCTGCAGTGAACTTAGGGATGCACATATCTTTTCGAATTCTTGTTTTACTTTTCTTCAGATAAATATCCAGAAGTGGAATTGCTGGCTCATAGGACAGCTCTGTTTTAAAATTTTTTGAGGAGCCTCTGTACTGTTTTCCCATGGTGGCTGCACTAATTTACAATCCCACCAACAGTGTACATGGGTTCTCTTTTCTCCACATCCTCACCAGAACTTGTTATTTGTTGATTTATTGGTGATAGCCATTCTGTCGAGTGAGGTGATATCTCTTTGCAGTCTTAATTTGCATTTCCTTGATGATTTAGTAATGTTGAGCATCATTTCATGTATCTGTTGGCCATCTGTATGTCCTCTTTGGTGCAATGTCTATTCAGGTCCTCTGCCCATTTTTTTATTTGGACTGTTTCTTTTTTTGTTTTAAATTGTATGAGTTCCTTATATTTTGGATATTAACCCTTTATCAAATGTATCATTTGAACAGTACTTTCTTCCATTCAATAAGTTATCTTTTTGTTTTGTTGATAGTTTCCTTTGCTGTGCAAAAACTTTTTAGTTTGATGTAGTCACATTTGCTTATTTTGGTCCTCTTACCTGAGGAGATATATCCAAAAAGATATTGTTAAGAGCAGTGTCAAAGAGTTTACTGCCTATGTTCTCTTCTAGTTTTATGTTTTAGGTTTTACATTTAAGTCTTTAATCCATTTTGAGTTTATTTTTGTATATGGTGGAGGAAAATGATCAGTTCAGTTTTCCCAACACTACTTATTGAAGAGACTGTCTTTACCCCCTTGTATATCTTTGCCTCCTTTGTCATAAATTAATTAACTATATAAGCGAAGATTTATTTCTGGTCTCTATTCTATTTCATTGATATATATGTTTTAATACCAGTATCATGCTATTTTCATTGTTGTAGCTTTATACTATGGTTTGATATCAAGGATACCTACTACTTTGTTCTTTCTCAACATCTCTTTGGCTATTCGGGGTCTTTTGTGGTTCCATGTACATTTTAGGATTAGTTTCTATAATTATGAGAAGGATGCCATTGGTGTTTTAATAGGGATTGCATTGAATCTGTATATTGCTTTAGGTAGTAAGGACATTTTAACAATATTAATCCTTCCAATCTGTGAACAAGGCATATCCTTTCATTTATTTGTATCTTCTTTAATTTCTTTCTTCATTGTCTTATAGTTTTCAGAGTACAGATCTTTCATCTCTTTGATTAAATTTATTCCTAGGTATTTTATGTGTTTTTGATATTTATAAATAATCAGATTATTTTCTTAATTTCTCCTTCCGATTGTGTGTTATTGATATATAAAAATGCAGCTGATTTCTATTTATTGATTCTGTATCCTGCAACTGTGTTGAATTCATTTATTAGTTCTAATATATATATATATGTTTGTGGAGTCTTGAGTTTTCTGTATATAATATTATATGCAAATAATGAGAGTTTTACTCCTTCCTTTCTAGTTCGGATGTCTTTTATTTCTTTTTTTTTTTTTTTTATTTAATTGCTGTGGGCATCCCTGTATTGTTTCTGATATTTGAGGAAAAACTTTCAGCTTTTTACCATTGAATATATTAGTTGTGGGTTTGTCATATATAACCTTTATTATGTTGAGATATGTTCAATCTATAGCCATTTTGTTGAGAGTATTTTTTGTTAATAAAACAATGTTGAATTTTGTCAAATGCTTTTTCCGAATCTATTGTAATGATCATACAGTTTCTATCCTGTATTTTGTTAATGTGATATATCATGTTGATTGATTCATGGCTGTTGAATCATCCTTGCATCCCTCAGATGAATCCTCCTTGGTCATGCTGTATAATCCTGCTGTATAATCCATGCTGTATAATGTATTGTTGAGTCCAATTTATTAATATTTTGTTGAGAATTTTTGCATCTATGTTCATCAAGGTTATTGACCTGTAATTTTCTTTTCTTTCTTTTTCTTTCTTTTTCTTTTTCTTCCTTTCTTCCTTTCCTTTCCTCTCCTTTCCTTTCCTTTCCTTTCCTCTCCTCTCCTCTCCTCTCCTTTCCTTTTCTTCTCTTTTCTTTTTAAGTAAGAAACTTGAAAACTATATTGATGCCAGTACCAGCTCAGCGGTACTTATCCAAAGGCTGAGCTTTTCGTTTTTGTTTTTAGTAAAGTATAGTTGACATACCCTCCTCCTCCTCCTCCTCCTT